GCGAGCGTGACCCAGCGCTCGGAATGCTGTTAGGGGCTTTTTCGGCTGAGCATTTACTGCGTCTAACTTTGCTTTTTGCCCACTCTGAGCACGCCACAGGGATGAGCACTGCTGCTTTAGCGCTGTGACAACCACGTCTTTAGCACTGCTCTTCCTCTCCCTTTATCCCAGCATCCCACGAGCGGCAAAGCCGGACAACAGCATCCAAGCTCAAGACAGCCAAGCAGCACGGAAAGTCTCCAGTGCTCAAGCAAATGCCACGCTGCAAGCCCAAAGGTCAGAAACCTCCAGCTGGATCCATCCGTGCTCCAGCACTGCTCGCTGTCAGTCGCAGGGCAGGCGAGGAAGAGGAGGCTTTGTTTGTTAAAGGAATTATTTTGTTCAGTGAAAGCTGCAGCTTGATAGGAAATTGGAGTCGGGGTGGCTGCTTAGCTCATGTCTTTTGAGAGCCCTGGCTGCCCCGCTCTGTGTTTTCTGATTTTAATGAGCAGTGATGGGATTTCAGGGTGATTTTAAGGGAAACATCCACCGTGCTCCGAGCACAGCGTGCCGGGAAGGAGGCAATGCAGGAGCACAAGGACATCCCGGCTGAACGTGGAGGTCCCCCCAAGGGCGAGCAGCTTCTGCTCAGCACCCTGGCATTTAACCCTGCAAAGGTACAACCACAACCAAAAAATGCCTTTGGAAAGCACGTGTGCTGGCCAGGCACAGCTCCCCTCGACACGGGCTGCTGGGATGTGCAGAAGGGAGGAGCCACTTCTCCCCAAAACCCCATCCCGGGTGGTCTGTGATACCCGCAGCCGCCTATGGACACCAACATCAGGTAACACGGAGAAAAGCAACTCAGTCTGACGCTGGACAATGTTCTCTCCTTTAGAGAAATATGCCTGACCGCATGCAGCCCCATCAGCTCAGGTCAAGGTACATCCCAGGCTCAAGCCCTGCCTTTAGCTCCCCATTGCACATCCTGCAGCCCCAGAGCCTCAGTGATGTTGGACATCCCCAAATTCCACCCATCCAGCCTCTTTCCATCCCCCTCCCACATGCACAGCAGCAGATGCCCGGTGCTGCCCTGCTCCCAGACCCGCCCCTCCCCCATCGCCCTCCCCGCATCACCCCATCCTTACCCTGCCTAGGAGGTTGCCTTGGAGGAGGGTCTGCTCCAGCGCCGGGGCCACCTCCTCCAGATGCAGCATGTGGCAGAGATCGGTGAGCTCCTCCTGCCCCAGCGACCCCGTCCCCGTGCTGTCGAAGCTGTCGAAGAGCTCTTTGAGACGAGCTTCATACTGGTCCTGCTCGGCTTCATCCATCCCATAGCCTGCCACGCTCACCTGCAAGGAGAGATGGGGCCAGTGAGCATTGACCGTGGCACAAAAAGGGGGAAAAAGCCCAAAGAATGGGACAGGATCAGCCCACGAGGCTGTTTGCTGCAGTTCTTGTTGGCATTAAGTGAACCGGGTGCTCTGCCACCCCTCCAGCCTCTTGCATCCTGCTGGGTGAAGCCAGAAGTTGCATGGCAAAAAGACCAAAGGGAAAAAAAAAAAAAGTCAGACCCTTGGGGTGGGGACAGCCCAGGTGGCCAGGGCAGCCCCCCCTGGGTGGCACGTCCCTACCTGCCACCTTGTGCCACTCCACGAGCAGCTCATTTAGCTCAGCTGGAGCAGCTCAGGTGCTGCTGGGGAAAATTATTCCCTTGAGCTCCACCGGGTCCCAGGTGTTGCAGGTGAAGCTTTGCCAGCCTGAGCCAGAAGATAAACATCCCAACAGCAGCAGGGAGCACAGCGTGGGGTGGGGAGGGCAGGAGATCCCACCCTGAACAGTCCAGGCCAGCCAGCCACTGCAGACACCCCCTCCACGAATGCAAAACCCGTCCCTGCACCAAACATCCTCTTTTTTAAGCCGACCTGGGTGCAGGGAGTCCCAAGGCACCATCAGCCCTGTTGACGCCAGCGTGCAGCATCTCTGCTTTGCTCCACAACCCCGCCACAAAGCCTGGGGAGGATGTGTCCCCATCACTGCCCTGTCCCGTGGCACACCACACTGCTGTCCTTTAGGTATTTCAGGTCAAACCCTGTCTGAAGGCAGAGAAGCATTTCACAGGGGACACTGCTTGAGTGACAGCAAAGCCAGCCCTGGAGCAGAGCTGAGCCCAGCATGGAGACAGCTGAGAGGTGGCTGCTCTCCAGCACCAGCAAACAGAGAATCACAGAATGGTTTGGGCTGGAAGGGACCTTAAAGCCCATCCAGTGCCACCCCCTGCCATGGGCAGGGACACCTCCCACCAGCCCAGGTTGCTCAAAGCCTCATCCAGCCTGGCCTTGAACCCCTCCAGGGATGGGGCATCACCCAAGTGGTTTCCCCATCACTCACCCAAGGGCTTCATCCTCCCCTCCCCATCCACGAGTTTTCCTCTCTCTCAGCCCATCGCTATCCAGAGCATCACAGCCCCAGGAACTGTTTTGGCAGAGGAGCAGGGAGGGAAACGGTCTGTCTGAAAGGAAGGGTTCAGCTGGCATCCATTTACCCAGCCTGGCTGCGGGGTCCCCACACCAGTATAACCCAGTGCCACAACAGCCGTGGCATGTACGGCCACCACGGGGGACCTGCCACCACCCTGAGGGGCACAACAGGCACCACAGCCACCATTGCTGAGGCTCACCAAGTGACAATGGACACCGCAGGGACCCAGCACCCCAAGGACACATCCCCGGGTTGCACATTTCCCAAAGAGGGGGGGTTCTATCCAAACCCTGTTGCTGTCCAGTTCTGCCACCAAGCAGCCACCTCCCCTCCTCCCTCTCAGCATCGCAGGGTTCCTGTGGCCACCAGTGTCACCAGCGGTGCCCACGGTCATCCCAGAACAAGCAGAGCTGCCCTGACAGCAAGGTGCACCCCGATTTTCTCCCCCTGCCCAACTCTGATCTTCAAGGGCATCATGAGCCAGCCCGTCAGCTCACACAAGGCAGAGGGGCGAGCAGAAAAACCTGTCCCACCCAGGTGGCTGGATAACTGGGGAATCTCTGGGGCTGACACTGCAGCAGCCGCGGCAGGAGCGGATGCAGGGCTGGTGCCAAGCGGCACGCAGGGTCCAGTGGACAGAAATAGCCCGGCTGTCCTTCCTCCCATGGTGACGTGGGCAAGGACAGCAGCATCGCCAGACCTCAAGAGAGAGCGGACACAATCCCTCCCCATCCCACATCCTCCATGTCCCCTGGTCCCCCCCTCCCCCGATGCATCTTGGCAGGAGCGGATGCAGGGCTGGTGCCAAGCGGCACGCAGGGTCCAGTGGACAGAAATAGCCCGGCTGTCCTTCCTCCCATGGTGACGTGGGCAAGGACAGCAGCATCGCCAGACCTCAAGAGAGAGCGGACACAATCCCTCCCCATCCCACATCCTCCATGTCCCCTGGTCCCCCCCTCCCCCGATGCATCTTGACCTGTTTTACCAAAGCACCCCAGCACTGCGGGAAGGATGCATTTGCATCCAACCCAGGGTGCAGAGGAAGGGTCAGCACCCCAAAACCTGGGTGCTTGCAAGCAGAAGGATGGCAACAAACTAATTTCCTAGTTGTCACGCCGACAACCCCGTTCTCCCACCCGCACCCCCAGTTCGGCACCCATAGGGCTCGACAGCAGCCGTGGCAGGGTACCAGCCAGGAGAGCCCAGTTGTACACCCCAGGAGGCCCAAAATTCACAGCCAAGCCTGCAGCAAAGGTCACCTGGACCCGAGGAGCTTCCCAGGCTTTTTTGAAACTCTTATCTTCAGGGTCAGCCACCTCCTGACCCCCCAGAGACCTCTCCAGCACCTGACCCTACTTCCACACCACCAGAACGAGTTCCCCCAGTTAGACAGAGCAAAGTTTTAAATGCCACCTCCCAACATGTCCCCGAGTACCTGCACTGACAGAGCACTGGGGTCACCCCCTCTCCGTGCTGTACCAGCAGACAGCCCCCCAAAAAATTATCCCAGATGAGTCCAGGTGGGCTGAAGAACCCATAAAACCAGCAAGAAAAATATGAACCCCAAAGGAGAAGAGCAGGGGGTGCACAGTCCCTGCTGGGGGACAGACCTGCCCTGCAGCCCCAGGGAGGTTTTGGCAAGGGGACGGTGGCCCCGGCAGCCCCGTATGTCCCCTGGGTGAGGGACAGTCGGGTGGGTGAGACCCGACCAGCGCAACGCAGCCCAGGGAGGGGATTTCATGCTTTGCAGCATAAAAAGCATCAGAAATAAAGAAAGAAGGGCAACACTCCTCGCCTACCTGCAGTCAGTCAAGGACAGCGAGCTGCCGGCAGCCGGGCGATCCCGCACGCATCCTGCGCAACCTCCATCTTAGGAAGCCGGCACCAGCTCGCAGCCGGCTGCGCAAGGTGACCCAAGATGCCTACTCCCCGCTGAATTAATCAGCAGGGCTTTGAGAAGGGAGGGGAAAAAAAAAAAAGGAAAAAAGGGGGGAAAAAAAAAAGAAAAAAGGGGAAAAAAGAAAAAAAGGAAAAAAGAAAAAAAAAAGGGCAAACCCCTGAATGCTAACCCTCCTACCTGCTGAGCTGACGAGGCTGCCTGGCATCACCCAACAGTCAAAATAATGAGGTCAATGCCATCAGAGACCCGGCACGCACAGCCACCCTCCGCACCCGAGCTGCCTGGCAAGGTCGGGGATGGGAGAGTGGCAGTGGAGAAAGGGCTAAGAGAGGAGGAGGAGGTGGGGAGGGGAAAAAAAACCACAAGAGGCACACAAAGCCTGACTTAAAGCCCAGCCTTTCATCTCGGCTCCAGATGGGCCAGCAGCTGAGATGCAGGAGGGCAGCCCGGGGCTGGCGGGATAATAGGGGCGGGTGGGCAGCAGCTGAGCCAGGGGCTCCCCGGTCCCCTGCGAGGAGGAGAGGGGCTGTTCCCTGCACAGGGCATCGCTCTGGTCAGATTTATAGCTGGCCTTCTGTGCAGTGATAAGTCACCCCAAAATGACCAGCTTGAGAATACAGTGCGGAAAAGTGAAGGTTTTGGAGAACTATTCAGGGTCGTAACCACATTATTCTTTCTCTTCTGGCTATAAGAAGTTCTGGGAAGCAAACCACTCGGGGATGATGAGAAAAGGAAGTTTTCACCGGTGTTTCTTTCCTGCCTTTAAATCCACCCCCTCCTGAGAGCCAGATAACCTTCACGGCGCACAATGTAGAGGCTCAATAAGACTAAATTCGCAGCTAAATTTAACCCAAAACAATATAGGCTTCAACAGTAATTACCGCTTCGCATATTAAGTGCCTGGGATCAATACCAACCTCCAAGCTCTAGCCTCTAACTCACAAAGACACAGATTACCTGGTCAATCATGACACCACCACGTAAACCTGCTACAATTAGCACAATGCCTCTTTTTTGTACAAAACAGTACTTGTGTGCCGTGGCACAACACGGAGGTTTCAGGGATGCTCTGCCCAGATCCCCGCCATGGGCTGCATCACCTCTCCACAGCACACGGCTCCGGGTGACGCTGCTGTCATCCCAACCAGCAGCCTCGGGCAAGTCATCGCCTTGGAGGGACAGCAAGGAAAATGTTGCTCTTCATTGCCTCGGCTCAAACGAGGGCCTGGCAATTAGCGGCATCACATGGCCGCCTCCAAAATACAAGCACCCGCTCCCCGAGACAGAACTGTTCAGTGGCATCCACCCCACACGGGCAGGTTAAAAGCAATTTGCCCTAAACCCCTGCGCTTGGGACAACCAGGACGATACGAACACAACTGGGAAAACCCACCAGCACCCCAGTTTGTAATGGTGGGGTTTGTGATAAGATGCCCAGCAGCCACCGAAACCAGTCCCTTGAGCCCTTGCTGGAAAGCTGGAGCTAGGTTGCCTCATCTAGCTTGTTATCTCCTTCCCCTAATGAACCATCTCATCCATCGCAGCTGGGGCTAAGCCACAGTGATTCACCACGTACCCCCCCAAACCACTGCCCGCTGCGATTTCTGAGCTCAGCCCACCCTGCAACACCCCGGCCCCTCTCCACAAAGGGTCACACGGAGAAACCAAAGGGGAAAAAAAACCCCAAAGGGACAATGGAGCACCCAAATATCAGTAAATCACTTGAGAGCACGCCTGGTTCTTCAAGGGTCACCACCAAAGTCAGCGTTACAGCTGGCGGTTCCTCCTCCCCATTGAGCACGGTCATAATTTTTGCAGCCCCGGCGCTGGCTGCTTTGCACCTCAATGCCACCTCTGGCCGTGCTCCCCTAAAACGCGGCCAAACCCCTCCAAAGTTGGCAGAGAAAAAGAGATTCTGTTAACCAAGCTCCACTCCAGAGGAGCAAAAAAGTATCGAGGGCATATAAA